GAAGTTCATATATTTTGAACTGCGGTATTAGATACGTATGATGCACGATCCTCGCAGTAGATAGCGATTTTTTTCAGGTCTGATTTTCGCTATTGCTTAAATAGCGCTATTTACTGCGAGGATCGTGCATCATACGTATCTAATACCGCAGTTCAAAATATATGAACTTCGTATATTTCATTGTATCTGATTTATCACTTTCACAGGATTATTACGAATCAACTTAACGGCCTGCTCCCAGTTGGCTTGTAAGCTCAATTGGTAGAGCGCTGCACTAGTATCGCAAAGGTCAGTGGTTCGAATCCCGTACAGGCCTGATTTTTTTCAAGTCTGATTTTCGCTATTGCTTAAATAGCTCTATCTACTGTGAGGATCGTGCATCATACGTATCTAATACCGCAGTTCAAAATATATGAACTTCATATATTTCATTGTATCTGGTGTATTTTGGGTTCTTAAATATGGCCTTCTTGAGGGGAGACACGTGATTTTATTAATGAAAGAACCAAGTTCAATGTAAGAAAATTAAAAATGACAGCTGCCTGTACCCCAATGTGCCAAAAAGGTAATGTTATTTGGAAAATATATCGGCATCTTTGAGAGAAATTTGGTCGGTATCTCACAATTGTTCACCGGAACTGAGAGATTCTTCCTCTCCTGTAAATTTTTACCTAAAATGTGTTCTTGACAATGGTTTTTGCAAAGGTATATGGTTTAGAAATCTTTCCAGAACGGGGATTTTCCGAGGTGTACAACATGTCAGTATACATGTGTTAAGATGTTGAGTACTATACTATGTTGCAGTGCTAACTGACAGTTATTACAGACATGGAATTGATTAGTTATTTTGCTATCATCAGTCGTAGTTAGATGAAACTACACAAATGAATCTAGATTGCATTTATAGATTAAAGGCACAAGTGAAGTTTTGAAAGATTCATGATTATTTAAGAATCATGAATTGCATATGCAATTTTTGAAATGGTTTTTTTCATTATATGCTCAACAAAATAATTTCCAACACTTCCCTGACCATCTTTATTGCACATTATGCAAAATACAACTGTCAAAATGATAATAAGTTTAGTGTACCCAAATTGACCATTTTACAATGTAATTAATCACAAAATAATACCAAGGTCATTTTTTTTTTTGCAATAATTATTTAAAAATTAAGACATCTAAAATATTTTGAAAGGCTTTAATTTCAACGAAGTGCCATTCAAAAAATTGGATATTGCACTTTATGTGACCTACTCATGCATTTGTCACTTATCAGTAATAAAAACAAAAACTCAGAAATGGTATGAGAAACTTTATTTGTACATGTTTGCCTATTTCCCCCTTTGTTCCAGGGACCAGAAGGTTCTGTTGGGGATCCAGGTCCTGTAGGTCCTCCAGGAGAAAAGGTAAGATTTTCTTCACTGCATTCAGTGGAATGTGCATGGAGTTGATGGATTAGGGAATGAAGTAGAAAACTCTTGTTGGAACTTCTTAAGGTCACTTCAGATTGTCTGTCTTAAAAGATGATTCAGATATAAAGAAATATTACAGAAACAGTGGGCTTAATCTGGGTAGAGTGGAAATCTAAGTGAGGCAGTTATTTAATGTGGAGCAAAGTCATTGCCATGGATGCCAACCTGCCCTAGGCAAAACCTTCAGTTACCTTTGGGCAAGGGTGACAGTTTTTTCTCAGAAGCAGATACGTTTGGGAGTCAAATTTCCTAATCAAGTCCTTAAAGGTGTCTTAAGTTGGAGGCTGAATAACAGAGTATCTTACAAAGCAAATACTGAAGTTTGCTGGCTGTTTTTTCATGTTTACAATCCACTTACTGTAAAATGGGAATTCTCTGACAGAAGTACTATCTAAAATGCATAGAAAACACTTTTTCTGAGTTGCTCACTGCTGCCATGAAATTTCCAAGTGAATGGTAAATTGCTTGACATAAATTCTGAATGGAGTGAGTGTTCCAGCAACCTTCAGCACAATAACTAGGTCCAAATTCAGCATAAAAACAATTCACCAACACAGAGCTGGAAGAATTACAACTTCCTTAATTCTCTTTAATCCTTAGCAGGATACAAAAGGAAGCATAAAACCTTGTCCAGCAACAAATGGATTGGTCTAATTGAAATCTAAAGAAAATGTTCAACCACTTAAGTTTAAAACTAATTTGACAATCTTGATTGCAATGACTCTGATCTGACATTTTGCCTGCACACATGTTTTTAGAAATGCTGCTAAGATACCCAGGAAATTTCCCAGGTGTCTCTAGTGCCTTAGCATTAGCTACAGTGAGCAACGAGGCATGTTACTTTTTCCATTTTACCTTTATTATTCCACATGGCAATGCAGGAATAAGAATGTCATCTTTAAATGTTGGTATGAACACCAGTGAGTGAGAATTGTTGTATAACATGGGTGTTCTTATTCAGATCTCGATAATATATGTAAATCAAGGGTAACTTTATGAGCATCGGTTGAGATTGTCTCCACAAAAACCCACCAAACTAGTATGTTTGGTGCATGGGGTGAAGATGTCTTTATAAAATAGCAGATGTCTCTATAAAAGAGCAGAAACTTTGGAATTTGATTAAAATCTAACTGATACTTCGGCTTTTTTTTAATCCAGGGAGATCAGGGTCGAAGGGGCATGTTTGGCATGATGGGACGCAAGGGTGTAAGGGTATGTATATCTTTATTTATTTGTACAATTGATAAAGTATTGGTAATGTTTACAACCTTCCATGCAGCAACTATTTGGTTGTTAAGTAAGAAAGAAATGAGGGGCTAAATTTAGTTTAGGTGTAATGGCTGATAGTTTCTAAAGAAACTGTTTGGGGCTGCGTCGGTGGGGGTAACGAATTAATATAAATATATCAACAAAGTTGAAATGGTAAATTGGCCACCGATATGATTATAAAAGCTGACGTTTCAAGCGTTAGCCCTTCTTCAGAGCGAATAGAGGAATTTTGGGTTGTGTGTACTTTTAAAGGCAGTTTAGGTGTAGGTGAGGTTGAACTTAAGACAACACTGGGCTGCAGTGACAGGCCCTAATTAAGGCGGGGGGTGGTTTAGGGGCTTTTTGGGGATGGAAAATTTTAGAGACTCTATTTGGTGTAAAACCACCTCTTCTTGTGTTTCCTGTCTCGTGCACTGCTGGCAGCCTTTGTACTTTTGATAACTGTAGAAGCAGCCAAATTGAGAAGTATATCCCAAAATTTTGTTGTTCTCAATATTTATTGTATTGTTTTGACAAATCCTCTTTTTTTACATAGCATTTCTATCTTTTAAGGGAGTTTTTTCTTTCAGCTAAATTTTCACTACCTTAGCTGTTTCTGTTTTGCAGGGGAAAAGAGGCAGGCAAGGTGCAAAAGGACCAACTGGCTTGCAGGGTGAAAAGGTATAGTCTATGTTTTATGTATGTACTGTACATGTAAGACGCAGCTTTTCTAATGCTTTTTGTTGTTTATGTTTGAGTAAAGTGGCTCTTAATTTATTGATGACATATTCTTCAACAATTGCAGAAGGTCTGTATGAACTACATTGTTATTTAAAAGCTTAAACACGCTCATATAATGTAGTAGGGAGTGTGTCTGCTTTTGTGAGGAAAAGTTCTTTTTGATAATGAAGCTTGGAGGCTTTTATTCATTACATCTGCAAAGGATGGTTAGCTGAGAAAAAGTCCAATTCTACTTTTCCCATGTGCAATTGCATGGCTGTGCAGAGTTGCAAAATTTCTCTTTGAGTGTTAAAAACTATTTCATGGTATCTTCATGTGTGAAGATATCATATTTTTGTATGAAAGCTCACTTGGTATTTCCTTGGTGTTGATATAATAAAATGATATTTGTTGTTATCTCTAGATAATTCACCAGAAACAGAAATTTGTCTTATTATTTTTTTCTCTTTTAAAAGGGGGAGCAAGGACCACCAGGACCTAACGGAGTGAATGGTGTTATGGTATGTTTGAATGGGATTGTTTGCTTGTGTAAATGAAAGGGAAATGATTGCCTGATAACATTTTTTACCCTAACTCTTAGTAGGTCACTCTCCAACAAAACAGTTATGTGAGCTATTGATTTCTGTTAATTCAACATTTGATTGGAAAAACCATGAATGGGACTCATCCAAACCCTGAATAAAAAAACATCTGTGGGACACATGTATTTCATATAAAAGTTGTACTCCCTTATGCCGTGCTAACAGAATTAGCCTGGAAAATGTTGTGTTTCGTGACTGTGAAACTGGTGGGGAACCACTGCACTTGTTATGCTTTGCCAAAGGTCATAAACTTACATGTGAGAAAAAACTGTCTTGCTGCAATTTTGATAATGAGGGCCTGCACTCAGGCTACAATTTCTTAGGAAATGTTTATTCTGGAAATTTTCAAGAAGAAATTTAAAAAAAAAATACTACACTATGTTTGATTTTCATCCCTAACAGAAATTGTAAAATTTTGTCTGCAATGTTGAACACCCTCAATCTCTCAACAATGATTTATTTTTAGGTATTTTATTATTAAGTAATTCTGCATACATTTTCATTAGCAGGGTAATACTTACAGGAATGTGAATACTGGAATTAATGATAAAAGTGATCTATCGTTATTTATTTGGAAATGTACCTTTGTGTTTCATGCAGGGTCAACCTGGTAGAAAAGGAGGGAGAGGAACAATGGGTGAACCAGGCCCCAAGGTAGGCTCTTTCAAATTTAACTTTGGAAAGCATCAAGTTGTTTATAGGCTAGGATCCTCAAAAGAATATCTCATGAAAAGGTATTGAAACTAAAGTGGAAATGATGGAAATAACATACAATATGATTTGAAGAAATATGGAATAGTTGGTGAGAATGCTTTTCACTATCAGTAGCATTTTATACGCTGATTTATGAATCCTTCAACACTTGCACAATCATGGTGATCTGGACTAAGAGTGAAGAATTTATTTTAACCTTTTTAAGTTACTATTGTGTCACGCAGGGTTTCCCAGGACCAGTGGGCCCTCCAGGACCTCAAGGGCCAAAGGTAATATTAAAATCACTGTTTTTGTATTGTTCACCTTTAAGCCTCCAAGATCTACTCAGTAACTCCCCCTACTTGACTCTAAGCCATATGTTTCCTTGTAATGAAGACAGGGGTATATAGTCTTATATCAAACTGAGACTCTCCAACTGATAACCTTGTCCAATCTCATAACATGTCTGCAAGATGACATGATGGAATTGTGAGGAGAACTTAAATGTTAATCATGTCTAGGAGTTAACCCTGTGACCCCTAAGGGTGACTAGCATCTAATTGCTCTTTACAATATCACCCCTGAAACACACATTAAGGTCGTGAGAATAAAGGAAATGATCAGTGTAAGAGTGACTAGCATCTAATTTCTCCTTACAATATCACCCCTGAAACACTCATTAAGGTCGTGAGAATAAAGGAAATGATCAGTGTAAGAGTGACTAGCATCTAATTTCTCCTGACCCCCTCCCCCCATGTTCCTCAACTCCTTGATCCCTAAGGGTGACTAGCATCTAATTTCTCGTTACAATATCACCCCTGAAACACACATTAAGGTCGTGAGAATAAAGGAAATGATCAGTGTAAGAGTGACCAGCATCTAATTTCTCCTTACAATTCACCCCTGAAACACACATTAAGGTTGTGAATAAAGGAAATGATCATCAACTAAACAAGCTCTTGATTGTTAAAACAAATTCTCCTTGTCTGCACCCAAGGAAATACATACAGAACAGTATGGAGAATATACATGCTGATGTTAGGGTGTAAAGGGTTAAAAGCTTGATTAATTGGTGAATGAAACAATTTATTAATGGTCAAGGATAATTGAATAATTGTTCGGTGCAATAGCTAAGCTGTTTACCTACATGCAATTTAACATATTGAGATGTCATGGCATTTTCACAGGGGGCTTTTGGGTCACCTGGACAGCAAGGTGTGACTGGAGCAAGAGGACCAAGGGTGTGTTGTATTGTGCAGTTCATGTATTGTGTACATGTCCGTCAAAGATTGCCATAGCACATTTTAGTTTCTATTAGATTTATACTCCCTCGACCTGTAGATGTTTTCTGTTACCAGGATGAATAGGAAAAATTTTCCCACATCCCCTCTATGGTCACCATTCCATTGTATGAAGTGTGCATGTAGATTCTTTAAGACTAGTGGTAATGGCCTCTACAATAACTTTAGGAGTTGACAGAAGTGTCAGTTGAATGTATTACCTTAGTCCTAAACAAATGAAAATTAAAGTTGTTTGAAACATAAGGTGGCAAAGAAACTTTTAATTTCCTTATACAAATATACAGATAATTCTATGTGCATCTCTTGCTCTGTACAAAGAATATGATGTCTGACATGAAAGTGAACTGTAGAAGATTGCCATGAAATATAGAATAACTTGCACTGACTAAATAAAATTTAAATATCTCCCATGTCATCTATCATCAGAGCTCTTTTTATTCAATCCTTTTACTGTGTTTTTTTAATTTTTTTTTGTTTTTTTTGTTTTGTTTTGTTTTGTTTTGTTTTTTTTTTTGCAGGGTGACCCTGGTGTAGATGGCCCTTCTGGTGAAATGGGTCCACCTGTAAGTTGTGAATCAAAATAATTTCCTTTTTTCTTGATTATTGCTGTGATGTTCTTAAAAGAATATAAAATTATTTAAGCTTTGACAAAAAATACTCTTTTCTTTATAAGGAGGAAATTTAGGGTGCACTTTATTTTATTTCAGGGTGCACCAGGAGCTCAAGGACCCCAGGGACTGCGTGGAAATCCTGGAAATCCTGTTAGTACCAAGAGTGTCATTTAATCTTTGTGATAATTATTTGATATGGAAATTTTTTTTCAATAATTTCTCTATTTCAGGTGAATATGCATTCACAGCTAACTGCGTGCAATGAAGTATAATTTAATGTTTTGCTTTCAACAGGGTATGCCTGGACCTGATGGAGTTGCCGGTGAAAAAGGCGAAACAGTAAGTCTACCAAATGAAGATTTTGTGTTTTATATTTGACTAATTTTTTTTTAATATATCACCCTGCATCTTAGGGCAGAATGGTCTGTGTAGAAATGAGTATGTATTTGTGGAAGAGTATTTTTGTTGTATCTACTGAATAAATTGGGTGTGGTGATTGATTTTTCAGGACAATTCTAATTATGAAATTCTTTCAATGTTTTGTGTAGTCTGCTCAGTCAATTCCAGGTTGTTATTGGTTAAATAGATAATTATGTGGTTTGATAAGTTTCTCTTTACAGACATCCAAATGTTAAGTCAAAGAAAATGTGGAGTTTTTTTTCTGTCCTAGATGACTGGTGCAGTTGATAAGTACAGTCACTGTGATATAGGGAATATATGTGTATTTTTTTTAACTAAATTCACAGTATTATCAAGTGAGAACCAGATTTCTCCCCTCCAAAGGTTTATCTCTTTAAAATAAGCATAGATTCTGATTGAATGCGTAGTTTAATTACAAACTAATTCTGTACTCTACAGGGACCACCAGGCCCACGAGGAGCTCAGGGGTCACAGGGAGACCAAGGACCAAAAGTGAGATAATGTTTTGATTAATAATTGTTCTACTAGATAATTAAATGCAGTAATTAAGTATGGTTGACTCTTTTGCAAGCAGACACCTTTGGGAATCAGAAAAAGTGTCTGTTAGTAGAACTGTGTACCTATGGAGTTATTCCTTTAAGCAGAGACCTAAGAAAAATTGGGTAGATGTTTGCCTATGGGAGATTGTTATGTTGGACTCTTGTTAATGTCAAATGAAAAGACAGCTTGCTTTCCCATGGAACAATAGAGATTTTACTGAACTGATCCCACTGTTCTGTCGCTCTGTTAAAGGTCACACTTTTTGCTGATTTGCAAATTGAAGACAAATTTTATTGTGCAGAGTCATTATTATGGGGTATCCACTTGCAAGAGAGCCTAAACAAAAGTGAAATCCAATTTTTCACTTTAAAAAGTGCTTGATCCACTTCCAAGATAATGTCTGCTTATGGAAATGTGTAATTAGAGAGTTTGACAAGGAGGCAAAGACAGGAATTGTGTCCATAAGTAGAACTCTTTGCTTATCAGAGTGTCAGTTCTAATTATTTCCTAATGATGGCCACAGAATGATAACAAAAATCCTTGGTTGTGAGGCTAACAGGCAAGAATCAGTAACAACTGAAAGTGAATTCACCAGGGTTTTATTCATTTTTATTTATTTATTTATTTTTTTACATGTGTTCCTATAATAACTGTCATGATTATTAATCTTTCTTGAATGCATGGTTTTAGTTAAAGAAGTGCATGGTTTTGAAACCCTTTATAAATACTTGTTAAAAGACGGAAGATTGTGCTCATAAATATTTGTAATTTTGAAATGAGTGTTACATATTTCACTAAACTTACTTGTTTGTCATAGCTGTGAACTACCTGTTGCTGTTGCTGTTGCTGTTGCAGTTCTTTACAAAGTCTGGTCAACATTTATAGCTTTCTTGTGTGGTGCACTATTTTCAAACAATGAAAATCCACAGTCAAGGAGCTCCCAACTTTTTACTGCACTGAGCTTAGTTGCCTTCATTTTTCATTTTAGTGCCTTTTGGTAACTACTATTATATTCTTCTACTAATTGCATCATGCTGTAGGGTGCAACTGGACCAACTGGAAATAAAGGACAGAGTGGAATACCTGTAAGTGTCCCCTGGACTTAAAAAAAAGCTTATTTATGGGTTTCAAAAAATGCCAATTGCAGGCAGTGATTGCCACCTCTCATGGCCACTAACTATCCTCTATTAGGAATTTGTTGTTAGGATTTTTAGGAGCATCAAGGCCTTATTACTGGAGGGAGGGACTTCCTATTGAAACCCCTTCTATTAGCAAATTTCAAGCTTAAAGTAGGCCTTGTCAACTTCAAGATTTTTGTCTTTTTGTCATGGATTATAAAACACTCACGAATTGTTGAGAAATGGTAGGGCTATCTACATTGTGCAAACATCATGCATATTTGGGAGAAAGATTATCTCACTGTTTGCGTAATTACTTGAAGCCATTGAAACTTGGGTAAGTTACATTGAGACCAACACCTGTGGTTCTCTTGCCTCACAAAACTAACCCTTGATAAATTTCGAGGAGAACCATTTTTATTTAGTTCTTTTTAACCGAGCGGGAGGTCTGTATGGGAGAATCTGAAGTTACCGAGGTCGCCAGTACAGACCGAACGCAGTGAGGTCTGTACCAGCGATCGAGGTCAAGATTCTCCCATACAGACTGAGCTAGCTCAGTTAATAAGATGTTTATTATATGGCTGTGTCTTATATGCCAATTTTTTAAATTCTTTGCAGCTTTGTTTTTCTAGACCGGTCTAGGTGCCGGTCTAGATGGGAAAATCTAGACCGCTTTCAATATTGATTTCAGCCAATCAAATTGGTAAATTTGGTAGTTCCCAGTCCTTGTGAGACACAGCCATATCATAATTTGAAATATTGTCACAACAGAGTTGAATATGAGTGTCTCATCCTCTTTTGTTTTACAGGGTGAAAGAGGAGTGCCAGGGGTCAAAGGATTCCCAGGCCAACCAGGAGACAGGGTGAGTTATCCAGTTTATCACCCCATGATCTCATCTCCTTTCCTCACATCTCCCTTAACTAAAATCGTGGTGTTACTATGAATGGTCATTTTGCAGGGTTTATATATCAGTGAAAAGAGTTAAATTTGCCATTGATCTCCTTCCCTTCTCTGTTTTTTCTACGTTCCCAATTTCCTAAATTTGACAAAAATCAAATAGGTAGATGCTCTTCAGCTTCTAGCATAGATTTATTTTAAACAATCAGAGACTGATTACTTCACTATGATACATGTACACGGTGAATGGTATCACATCAGTAAGACTCTCTTTATTAAGTTGGGAAATTGTTATTGAATCTTTGAATTCCACTACAGGGAGCTGCTGGCCTTCCTGGGGATCCTGGTGTCCCTGGCCCCCCTGGAGCTCCTGTGAGTTGCTTTTGTCTTTGAATCTAATGTTACCTTTTTCTTCATTTCTGCCTATTTGGCAATTTACATTAGTTTGGTTCTCCCTTTATGAGCACCTATCAAAAGTAGTTACCAGTCCTTTGTAGATTCATTATTAAATGCATTTCACATTGCCAGCTACTAATTTTGGAGACATCTCAGGAAACATATGCACTTTTTTGAGGGAATGAGGTTGTAGAGGTGTAGTTCCAGTGTTGGGGTGTTTTGATCTGCGACTTGTGTCTCAGCTATCAGATGCTCATTAAGGTTATGAATGTGTGATGACATTGCTAGTTTGGCAACAAACACCAGAATCCATGTGCTATTAAAATGCTCACATTTGAGGGCCACAAGTTTATTAGTATTTTATACTGTCAATTGCCACTCTCGAAAAATAAAGTGGATTCAACTGTTAGTATTATCTGCTCTTAGTTGCACCGAAAAGTTTAACCCCATTAGAATGACAATCTTTTGGTTATTTTCAGTTATTGCCGTGCAGTTTCATCATCCATTTTTTTACTTTAAAACATCAAATTTCACTTTTTGCAGGATTAATGTATAATTTTCGTTTGTTTTCTGTTTTTCTTCCTGTCTTTTTTCTTTGCAAAATCAGGGTGAAGTAGGAATACAAGGGTCACCAGGTGGTCCTGGATCTGTTGGACCAAAGGTGATTTTTTAAAAGCTGAAATGCAGCTGAAACCTCATTAAGTCTGTGAATGAGTGCCTGTGAATCACTGTAATAAAAACTTCTCTACAATGGCAAGCTCTTTTAAGTAGCCACAGTCCACCTCTTTTGACTGACCTCAAAGGTTTAAAGTGACATTTTCAGGCCAGAAAGGACAGTTTTCAAAACACATTGAGTTTCTTTAAAGTTTTATAATGGACTGTATTATGCCCATCATTGTTCCTCTTCAATTGCTAATAATAATAATAATAATAATAATAATAATAAATAATAATAATAATACCTTTATTTAGACACAATAATGTTTAAAGCTGAACAGCTTGTGGGGTCACATGTAAATGCAAATAAACTCTAAGTTAAATAAATTCAAATGATGATGGTTTTTGAGGAGAGGGGAAAACCGGAGTAACCGGAGGAAAACCTCTCAGAGCAGAGTAGAGAAGCAACAAACTCAATCCTCTTATGATGCCGGGTCCGGGAATTGAACCCAGGACACATTGGGGGAAGGCGAGTGCTCTCACCACTACGCCAACCCTGCTCCTGCTTATCGTAGACATGGCAAAAAAGAAACTGCAAAGTAGGCGGTGATTTTACTTTATATAAACAGATAAATTTGCCGGTTGCCAGCATTAATTGAAACCCCTGCATGCAATAGAGGGCCAATGGTTATGATGGACAAGATACAAGGCATACTTCATGTCATATATTAGGTCAAAGGAAACTTAAGTTGTCATTTTCCCTATTTTGTTATCAGGGAGTCATGGGTACTCAGGGCTTACCTGGAATGCCAGGAATGAAAGGGGGAAAGGTGAGTAATGTTCATGATTAAAGATGCCATGACAGCCATTAAAAAATTATGGAGTATTTAAGCAATAAACCACACTCTCCTTTGGCTTTCTGGCTAATAAACCATGTGGGATGTTGAGAGAACAGAGGAAAAGTTTGTAAACCAGGATGTGTAGCCTTCATTCAAAGGACTAACAAAAAATACATGATACAAAGACGGCCTTGAAAAGGAGGGTTTATAAGTTTGGCTCATGATTTATGAGAAAACTCCTAAAATAAAGAAGAAGAGTGGTTACGGACCAATAAAAATTATTTACTTATTATGTATGATCCAGTATTTACAGGAATATGTAAATTATCTTCTCATTATTAGATACGTGTATTTGGAAGTCTAGAAATTTTTTTGCGAGCATGCTTGAACTTTATTATTTTGCTATACCTTGATGACCCACTCTGGTAAATCAAAACATTTTTTTAGCAAGAAAGTAGAAGTAAATATGTAATTTTGGTTTTATCAACCGAGTCGACAATCGTGTAAATTGGTCACCTTAAGAGTTTCAACGCTGACATTTTAAGTGTTTGCCCTTCGTCACAGCTAATGAAGAAGGGCTAACGCTCGAAACGTCAACTTTGAAACTCTTTACGGCGGCCAGTTTACATTGTTGACTCGGTTGATAAAGCCCAAATTACATTGTTACTCCCACTGACGTAGCACCAAAGTTTCTTAAGAAACTTATCCCCTTTATTCAGAAGTAAATATGTTTAGCAAATCATCCGTAGAAAACCGGGCTTGATTTGGATCATGGTGAATTTGAAAAAGTCCCGCTAAAGAGCAGAGAGAGTCATGAAATTTTCTAACCTTAAGACAAATTGTTTATGCTACTGAGCTGTGAGATGAGGTGCAAAATTTTCTGTTAATTTTTTTCCCCTTACAGTGTAAGTTGAAGCCTGTACAATTTACAATGGTGACTTTTTCTTTCAGGGAAGTACTGGAAGAACTGGAAGAAGGGGAAGTAAAGGGCCCAGGGGAAGCAAGGTTTGTCTTAAAGCTGCAATATGGCTTTGCTAAAATGAGAAATGAGTCTTGAAATGTGTTGTTGTGTTGTGAAGCAGTCTCCTGAAATTGTGTCATGGGCGGATGCCACTTGGAGGGCTCGGCCATGTAGATGTAATTTTAGACAAATGAGGCACTGAGCAACTGGTGGAAAATAAACATAATCATTAAGATATGAATTTGAAACTGTGGTAGAGTTACAAAGACAACCTCGTTCCTAAGGTTTCTTCTCTCGCTCAGGGGGGGTGCGGGAAGATGAGAGAGACTGGGAACGAGGTTGCAAAGAAAGACAGATTGTGGTAAAAGATTTACAAATGAACATAAAGTATCAATTAAAACATTTATGCTAACGTATAAAATTAAAAGATCCTGGTCTGGTTATGCGTAGGTATTTATCCATATTGCACTTATTCTACCCTTTTAAGACTGTTGCAAAGCACATTTGAAAGATTTCTTAGTTAACTAGACGCTATTGAAGCGTTGACTCAAGCTTGCTCGGGGAATTGTTGTGTACTAAATAGGCGATTTTGCGTGCGAGGCTGTAACAACTTGTGCTTGAGCAAGTTGCAAAGCCCCAAGGGGAACGAAAAATAAGGATTCAAGCCCAAGGAGCGAAATAACTCACAAGGTGATTGTGTGCCAAAAAGAAAGTTGATCTGTAAAACCTTAAGACATGGTGAATAAGCTATCAAGTACAATGTATTTGCAAAAAATAGCTAAAACAGATACGCGAAATCAACTTGAACCTTAAAAAGGTCAAATCAAATGAATTCTTTAGAACCTGAAAACATGGTAAGCAGTTGCCAAATATGTATAACATAGTGATATGGTTGCCAAATAGGTACGTGGAAATCAAGTTGAAGACAAGAATTAAAATCACTCACGTGATGCGACAAAATATTTCTACATCTATGTTGGGATGATTATCATTGCCGATTTTTAGACTTTACTTTCCGGTTGAGTATTTTTCTGTACATTTTCCCTTCGTTAGCAAGGTTACAAAGGTGTATTTTGATCAAGAATGAAGCAAAAAGAAGGAAAACTACCTTCAGTTGACGATTTTAGCTTGTATCTTGGTCAAGGTTGGAGCGAAAAGAAGAAAAAGACCAGTCAGATCTTTTTAGCCTACGGCGACATGTGCCATTTTGAATTAAGTTGATAACTCTATGTTTTCAGGCAAAACTTTCGGCCTGAAGATATTTGAGCAGAGGACAAAGCATGATGTAGGGGATTGAGGCAAACCTAATTGGAGAAGCTCGCGTTTCTCATCCAAAGTTTCCCTTGAACGCCTTTCTAAATTTGTAAGAGTTCTATTATAAAAGTCAAGTAGACAGAAAAAATTGTAGGACTATAGGCTGGCTACACCCCTTGGTGATGACATTGGCTCTTCCTTGCAATTCTCTTGTTTTAGTTCTTTTGCGGTGAATGATTAGTTTGAAATTATCGGAAGGAATAACACGTGTCAATCAGTTGAATCAGGCAGAGAGTTATGTTACCTTTTTAAAGCGAAATTACAGGCATTTTCCAGCAAGAAGTTGCTTTCATTGGAAGCTTTCCTTTGAAACAAAAATGGGACAAAGAAGCACTTTTTGTGCTGAGCAAATTTTGCTTGAATAAAGCTCAAATTTTCAGCCAAACTTTAACTCCAAGTTTCAAAGAATGAGTGCAAGAAGAGCGCACAAAATATGTGCATTTTGCTTGTTTTACATCTGCACATGAATACAGGATAAACATGAGTAAAAATTGCCAACTGATATTTTGCTTTTGTCTAGGGTGAGGTAGGGCCAGCGGGTGAGAGAGGAGGCCCAGGCCCCAGAGTGAGTATTTGTTTTCTTATTTGTTGTATACTGCTTTGCATTTGTGTATCTAATCAGGCAATTGTCTTCACTGGGTGTTTTCCTTTGTGTTAGCTTGAATTTGTAATTTGAAACTTTCTTATCTTCACTTCAGGGCCCAAGAGGATCAAAAGGAAATCCTGGTTCCCCTGGTAGAGATGGGATACCTGTAAGATAGTGTTTTTATCGAATGTCAAAATTAGACTCTGTCTTGAGGGTGCTTGTTTGAATTTGATTTTTAAACTGTAGATTATTTTGGACTTCTTTAGCTTATTTTTACAGTCCCGTAATGGGCAAGCTTAGGGCAGACTACAAGGTCTAAGACTCTGATTTTTCATTTAGGGCTTCCAAGGAAGTGCTGGTACCCCAGGAAGCCAAGGAGCACCTGTAAGTACCGTAAACATTCAGCGTCTTTACTATGTCTCTCTTTTTTCTATACCTTGCTTTCTCTCCCCTCTACAGGTGAACACTGTATTGTTTAGGGAAAGTAATAGAAAGTGTAAGATCTTCCACGTCAATTGATTAAACACACACAGGTGTTCAAAAACACTGCTACAACCTTTTGCACCCTTTGGGATGATAAAGATGACGGCATGGTAAAAACAATAATTCAACAACTATTCACCGCGAGGCAAATATCCACTGTCAGATAGCGACATGGAAGTGAATAGTTGTTTTAGTATTTACCTAAACAGAGGAATAATATAGCCGCCCCCCCCCAAAAAAAAAATTTAATTTATTTATTTCTGTAACGATTACAATGTTGTCGGCCACAAATTACGCGCAAGTTGCTTGGAAGTGAGTAACAAAGGATACCCGAGTTTGAATAGCCAATCAGAGCCCACCTTCAGAGCTTTACACTGCTTTGGTATCTAAAAATGATTATAAATGACAAGAAAACTGCTGACAGTGCTTTTTCGTCACAACAGAATTGAGAATCTGGTTCGATTTCTATTTGTATCGGGCACCGATGGCTCTCAGAGATAAAAGAGAGGGAAATCAGCAAATAAAATCGTTTGATTATCCTCGTTTTGTCTTGAATATCCTAACATGTTTTAAACTGATTTTAGGGTGTGGCTGGACCCAAAGGCCTCTCTGGACCAATGGGGATGAGAGGATCAGGGGTATGTTTATGTAAAAACAAAACATTAGTAAAGTTAATGTGTCTGTATCGTGTGTCCGCCTCTCTTGTTTACTAGCCATATATTTTTTCAAAACGTTGCCCCATGCTGATGTCTGTGTTTCCAACGTGGGATATTTTCTCAGATGAATGAATTTCACCCTTGGTTATTGTTTTGTATATAGTATTTAAGATCAGTGTCAAGGAAGTTCTCTAACCCATCCCTTATTGACTGCTGAAAAAATAAACTGATTTTAGATCTCAGATCTTATTTTAGATTTTAGAACTGATTTAGATTTTAAATCTAAACGCTAAACCATACAATCTCCCAAACCACAATCGAACCTGTAGTAACCGGCACTGTATTAAGCGGACAGTTTTCGAGTCCCGAAATATTTCCCCTTAATTACTGCAATTGTTACCACTATTAAGCTGTCACACCTATCACGCGGTCATGGTCACCCCTGGCTGAATCCCAACAATCTGTTTGTATGGTCTTCCACCTTTATTGAACGGTCGCTTAAAGCATGACCACCCAAATAAAATAAGAATAATCTCTTAACCATGTTTATCTCCCGGAACCAATTTTAGTACTTTGAGTTCAAAGTTCTTCAGCAAATAATACGCACGAACATCACGCAAGGTATATGCTAGTCAACCTGTATCAAGCGGTCAACCTGTTTTAAATGATCACCCTGTTATTTCCCGTGGGTGACCACTTAGCACAAGCTTGATTATAGTATCGCTGGACATGTTGGAGTGTTGTTTAAAAGGTTATCTTTTCTTTTTTTTTTTCCCTTCCTATGCATTTAGTTGAATTTTTTTGCGGCTACCGCCTCCTATTAGGAGGCAAAGCTGCATGTGTTGTCGAGATGAGTGAGTGAGTGAGTGAGTGTAATAATAGAATTCCGATCTTGACCCAAGTTTGACCCGATGTTTCCTAGGGCTACTTATCGCTTTTTCGGAGTATCTTAGTACTTCGACATTCGTACTCATCTCACAATCATTTCAGGAGACAAATCTTCTGCAGGGCTGCCTATTAGTGTCATTATACAACCTTTCCAATACTTTAAAAATTGTGTAATACCAGTAGCCACATGCAGTCTATGACTGTCTATTTTTTTCTTACTATGTTTATGCCTTAGGGTCCTCAAGGGAAACAAGGGGAGCCTGGACCCGATGGAGAGCAGGGACCTCTGGTATGTCAAGTCATGTGAAGAGTTTGTTTGTTTCCTCGTCTCATCATCTACTTGTGTATTTAAGAAATAGATTCCATGTTGCCGTACCTCAGTTCAGAAATAGTCACGTATGAGGTAAAAATAAGGTATGCCCAAATTTGGCACACTAAGCAGAGCGGAGTGTGTCGCCAGTGTTACCTCTTCTGAAAATGTAGAGACAATAGTTCTATGATGATACAAACAAACTTTTAAAAGAAAGTTTTTTTTTACTTTTTTTTAATCTATCTCGAGTGTGGTATAGAGAAAAAAGTTGAGTGGCTAAGAAGGATTCCAACCTCAGGCTGTTAGATTTGCTTCTTGATGCGCAAGTCAAGTCCCTATTATTTCTCTTTGTTCGAGGACCAAGCTCAATACTTAAATGTAAAATTTTTTTTGTCTTTCTAATCACACATGACGCTTTCAACGTTTCTGACTTTTTAAGTGTACAGGATGCTTGCGCATTTGAACCGATTTCATGCTCTGACTCACCACTGAGTTCCCTGTGACCCCCTCAGTGGTATTGCTGTACATCGGAGCCCGAAATTCAAATGTCTTGAGGTTTAAAATCGTGGTAGAGAACTCGGATTGCATGTTTTAGCCACGCTTGTAAAAAATGAATAACTCGTGTTATTCGACAACGTAACTCAAAACATACCATCTTTTCTTATCTTTTTGAACCTCCATTCTTTCTCTTTGTAAGGGTGACGCTGGTTTAGCTGGAGGCGAGGGACCCCCTGGTCCTCAAGGTCCCATGGTAGGTCATCGAACAGTCCTTTTTTTTTTTTTCGTTTTCTTTTTTTTTCACGTCTGGTGTGAATTGTTGTGCTTGCCACTTAATCAGCTTCTGTTCTTATTGGTAACTCTAGGTTAATCGAAAATTGCATTTTGTTTGAGTTAATGCAGGGAGACATTTTTTCGCAATAAGGGATATTGATGTAAGACCAAAATCAGATATTTTTTTAAGAATTAAGAACTAAACTACTCATAGGCTACAGAAAGGTTAATAATGACACTGTTTAAGAAACGAAATTGCAGCACAAGAACCAACTTGATATGTTCAGAGAGGGATAAACCTTTCAGTGCCTCCTTCCTTAGCTCTTGGTAACGCATATAGACGTTTTTTTTTTTGTTGTGGAACTTATTTCTTGCTTAACTGTCTCTAAAGGGTCCACCAGGCTCAAGAGGTGCAGATGGAGAAAAAGGAGTTCAAGGAAGACCGGTGAGTGCTAACCTTTTCAGAATTTTGTAGAAGAAGTACGTCATTCGGTGCTGAAGGGTTTGGGTATTGTTAACTCTGAGTTCCCACTTCGTTTTATTTTCCTCAAGTTCATACCCCTCTAAAACTACTCATCTGCCAAGAAACAGTCATTTATCAGCAAATGCATGACTTCATAATTGAGGATTAGGACATTTTGTTTTGACTTTAACCATTTGACATTTAAAAAAGAGCTGCCTTCTAATATCGAACTATGGAACACTGTTACCTTTAATTTTTTACATATGTATCCTTTCCTGTTTTTTTTTGTTTTTTTTTTTTATGTTAATATTGTAACTAAAACCTGAGTGCTAAATAAAGTAAAGTTGAAGTTCTCTTAACAGTATCACCCTCGAATCGAATATAAAGGTCACGAGAATAATAGAAATGATCACCACTTTAAGAAGCTCCGGTCAAAACAAATCATCCTCGTCATTACCATAGAAAATGAGAACAGTTAAGAGAATATAAATATTTATTATCCAACTGTGCTTCGTAGAGTACAAATAACGCGCGAGACGGGTACAAATATCACGCGATATTTGTACTCCAAAAATACCCGCGAAATTCGCCCGCACCGAAATTAGTCTGGCGTGTTGGATAATAAATCTCTTATTAGACCTTTTGTTGTGTAGTATCACTGAATATTTTTACTCGTTGTTTGTATTTTGACTCGCCCTACGAGCTCGCCATAACACGGCACAACTCGTAAAAATACTCAGCGATACTACATAACAAAACGTCTAATAAGATATACTTATTATATCAACACCAGTGAAGTACTAAGTGACCTTTCGCGCGAAAACATGATATCTTCACTCGTTAAGATAACGTGTTCTCTTCATACGTGAAAAGGTCACTGTTGCTACGTAAAATAATTCAAATGATAAAGAGAAATGATGTAGTATTTCATAGGTGTTTATATAATAAATAGGATTTTGCATGGCCACTTGTAGATACTAAGTTTCTTTTCTCGTGTTGAAAAAGATTTCAATACTGGAAGAGAAATTTCGTATCTTTTAGCGGCCATGTAATATCCTCTAACAATGTTAGGGTGTGAGGTCTTCACCAGCACAATGCACTTTAATCATCTTACATTTGATTCAATCACGTTGCTTCGAAGGATTTTTCCGAAAAATTCTGTGCCATTTCGTGATGGTCGTCTCAAGATGTGTGTCATAATTTTCATTTTTTTGATTCACAGTGATAAATAAATAATGTTTCTATCGTTGTTTGCAGGGTGCAAGAGGAGCGAAGGGAAGTAAGGGACAACCCGGACAGGATGGGCAGAAGGTAGATATTGGACCGCAAAGTTAAACAATTGTTCTTCATTAGATTTGTAACCTTGGAGCACATTCAGAGGACTCTCGATAACTCGAAATGAAATCTGTCACCTAGAGCTTCCCATGAAAAAAAAATTTGCTGTAATTTTGGTGAGAAAAACTCAAACCTTAAGTGACGCGGACCATCGTGCCCAATAATCTACTGTACAACAAAACAATAATCAAAATTTTAAAATTAAAATAGTGTGGTAAGTTAGAAGTGAAAAGTGATTAAGGGAGAAAAAAATAGAAAAGAAGTTGATACATGCTCCTTTTTGTTTGAAATAGTGTTAAACTTAGTCCCACAACTCGTCCCCTTTACTCTTCCACCAAACATCACTTACTACATATTTGACTTGATTTCCAGGGCCCCCCAGGCGACGCAGGGAGAAGCGGCAGAGATGGAGAAAACGTATGTTTTGTGCTACGAATTGAATAATGTTGTCAGAAAGAGTTAAATGATAAATGAAAAATCATTTCTAATAATGAGGGGATCTTTCCATTTCTGTGTTAAGCCTATTGTTATGATTTCCCTTGCGTAACCCCATCCCTTAAACAACGGCTTCTTTATCTCGCTTGAGAGGGACTGGATTGTATTCACTCTGACTTGGCCTTTTATGACGCAATCCTTTCTAGATTTAAACATGCGCATCTTCATAATGACTTACACAATTACTCTAACATTGTTTGATTTTGACAATACTGATTTTTTTTTTTTTTTGAAATACAGGGACCACGTGGATTGGATGGAGCAGGTGGTGAAATCGGTGGAATTGTAAGCTTATATCCAATTAATAATATTCTTAGACCCACCGATGGGTTTGATCGTGCTGAGTTTGATGATAGTGATGAGTTTGATGATAGGGATGAGTTTGATAGTGAACGATATTTCTTAAGTTTTCATGAGTATTGGGCGAAGTTATTGATCGTAGTGGAACTAAAGCCATCAGGTGAAATGGGCAAATGCTGGTTCCACCATGGATCTCGTGTACTTGTAATTTTGGGGTTTTGCTCGCTGTTACGAACTTTTAATAGACTGAAAGCTTCTGCTTTAGTTAAAAGATAAGAAACTTTGTGAACTTTGCGCGTAAATATCCGGTAAAGGCGGATGTTAAATCGTAACCAGTGGTACAGGTGTATAATAGAAAAGGATATTTGCCAGAAGGTCCTTTCGTTTTCTCCTGCTCGTGCATTCTGTTTCAAATCAATACTACATGCGGTGAACGGTCAGGTCGCCCGAAACTTGAGTTAAGTCGCCCAAGATCATATTGCGAGTAAACAGGGTAAGCAATTTCCTATAGACCACTTTCATAAATGGCTGCCGGATTAGTATTCCTTTGTTTAAATTTAAATTAGCCCTACTGGCCTCGTTCTCCTGTACAAAATTCAAAAGAATACATTATCTCAAGCGAGGCCAGTAGGGCTAATTTAAATTTAAACAAGAGAATATTTATACGGCAGCCATTTATGAAAGTGGTCTATAAGATCAGGCTTACAGACTGTAAATAGACAATACAGTAGGAAGTGGTTAAGGTTGTAGAGCACACATCTCTCACTGATGCAGTGTGTTTTTTTTACTTAAAACGAATATCCTCACTTTTTTGTGTTATATTTGAAACATTCCGTACCCTTTAGGGACTCCCAGGTCTACGGGGTGAACCAGGTCCACAAGGAAGACCAGGAATGATGGTGAGAAACGTTTTAAGAACTTCACTGAGCTTTGGTATATAGCAGAGGTTTCAATAACTTTTTTCTATAAGTGGCTGCTGATGGTGTACTCGTAATAAGCGGCTGTGCACGGAAAGGGGCGAATCCCGAACACGAGCCTGTTCAAACTGAAGGGTAGTATGAGGTCTTATAGGCCGCGAGACGGATCGACTCAACTAAAGACGAGTCGAGTCGACCCGTGCGAGTCGTGTCGATTCGTCAACATTTCCTATCCCTGTTTACTGCTTTGAGAACGAAGAAGCTTCATTTGTATTATTTACAATCTTCTGACAATGGACTTCCGCCCGGTTCACGCTTTAAGAACGTTGGAGGTTCATGTTATCATTTTCTCATGTCATGCTACTCATTTTCATACATTGCTGACGCCCTCGACTTCCAGTATGTTAACGCACGATTCGACTTCCGGCGAATCGATTTTGTCAACCACCGGTAACTGGCTTTGATTGAAATCACTGATAGTCCAAGAGTCATAACTGAAGTCATCACAAATGCCTTTCAAAGAAAAAAGAGTAAGGAAATTATCAAAAGGAGCTATTGAGCAGTCACTTATAGTAATTACCTGTGAACTACGCGAAGCGCGGGAAAACGTAGGCGACCAAGTTACGTGTGGATTTAGTTTGGCATATGATTGGTTGAGTGAGAAATTTTTTGACCAATCGCAGAGTGAAATAAAGCAAAGCCTTTTAAATCCCGGAGCACTTTTGACACTCGTTTGAACGTTGCACTTCTGTATTCGTGCTTCCTGTCTAATGGGCTAACATGACGAGTTCGTGATTAATGCAGACATGGATTATTAATTAATTTACACCATCTTTAATTTGACAAATGTTTCAAACGAATTACTGTTCACTTGATATAGGAAAGAGGAAAGTGGTTTTATTTCAGGTATCGCGTATCTTATCACTTCAGAAATCAAAGGCTATTTTTCAGATTTCCACAGAAGAATTAAGATCGCAGAGGCCAAAGTGTGGAAAAACTGACCGTTCAAAGACAAGTGTAAATTCAGAACAGATATTCTAAAGCATTGATAACATTTTTTGGTATATCAGAACAGTTTTAACCTTGTTCTAGGAAGTGTAGTTGTTCGTCGTGGTTTTGTAGATAAAGGATCTTTGAATTGTTTGTCTCACGGTGGAGAGTCAGACTGTCCCGACTGCTGTACTGATAGTCTTGGTTAGGCGACGAGGTCGAAAGTGTACGTGTCGCTATTTATAGCACCTTGGTTTTCTGTTATTGGTGTGTTTGGCGTGCTGTCATTGGATGCGTTTGATTTTTACCCTGTGATAGCATTGATACCTTCGTTATGGTACTAACTTATCTCAAACTACCCAGCACTTGCACACAACTTCTCGATTCCAAGTATTTCAACCGACATTTCCCAGATAACTTTTATAAATTTCACCGAATTTTAGCATACCAACTTTTGTGTTGTCATTCACAGGGACGCCAAGGAATGACTGGACCTGCTGGAAAAACTGGAGCCCAAGGAGCTGCCGTGAGTAAACCTGTGAATCGAGCAAAATATCGTGTTTTGCTAGCGGCAAAGAAATCAACTGTCGAAATTAAAAGCTGGGGTAAAATTACTGTCAGTTAAGAGATGCGAACTGGCACATTCCTTGGAAGATTGGGGACCCAACTACACATAAGTAGTATTTGCAGTCGTTAGACGAACCCACAGAAGACGCACATCTCGGCATGTTTTTCAAATGCTTCGTCACCCCCATCTAAGTTTACGTTTCATTAATTTGATATTTCATGGAATGAATTTATCGCTGTGGGCTATAAAGAGAACTTTGAGTCGTTGGTGGGTTCAACATATTTTTGGAATTTAGATGTGTATAGGGCTATTGCTCTCTTTCGCCATTTTTTTTCTGTTCTGTGACTGGCAGGGTCCAGAGGGTCCAGCAGGAGCAACAGGACCGGCTGGAGAGAAGGGCAATACTGTAAGTATGAAGTCAATAACCGTTTTAACAACTCTCTTGTTGTCAGTAAGAAGGTCTGGATACGAGCCTGATTCCCATAGGTGTTCGCGTCCCCCCTCCCCCCCCCCTCTTTGGACGCACTGAAGCATTTACAGCATTGATACTCTGCTAGGCCACTCTATGGGCTTGCGCACTGAGTTCTTCCGGTTGTACACTTACAGGCGTCAAATTACCATTGTTCTCTGTAAGTAAACAACAAATGCAGAGTGCGTCGTTGTAAAAACAGACTATTTCAAAGTGTTTATATTGGATTTTCGGAAACTTGAAGGCCAAGCTTACCAACGGCCCGTTGGTACCACTTTTATCAGCGTTTTAATGGCACATGCATGAGTCGTGATCTAGTCCCTTTAAGTTTAACCTGTGAGATATTTTCCACATGATACCTTCTTCGTTTCGGTTTTTCGATAATTGATTTTTCTAGGGACCAGATGGTGAGACTGGGCCTATGGGGCCCCCAGGGAGATCAGGAGCTGATGTAAGTGGACTCTTTCAACATAAATCTACATTATTAGTTTGCGGTTGATCACCGCGTCATAATTCTTGACTTAGGATAAGAGTAAAAGGAGAAGGTCGAGGGTGAGCATAGACGAGGTAACTTGGAATTTCCCAAAAAAAAATATTTTGGGGTTGGCCTGTTTTCCATCCATCCCCCTCCTCTCCTCCCCATAGGGATTTATTATGTAATTGACTTAAGAAAATACACAATAGCGCAACTAAAAACAAATATGTAAATTGTCAACAAAGGATAGCTTGAATCAGACGAAATGACTTAGATGAATTTATCATGACGAAAAGAACTTCCTTGAAGCAGAATTTTTAATTGGTCGCAGAACATTTTCTCTTGAATCTCGAAATCGTATCGCAACATCTTTGGATGGAATGGTGTTTTTGCTTTATTGTACTTAACTTCAGTGGTTTTTCGATGAAGCTGGGAAAATGTAAGGCTACAGAGTTGTTGAACTAGTTAAAATAGTGCGTTTGGATTGAGTGTCGCAAAAGCAAAAGCGAAGTAATCACAGTGGCCAATCAGAATAATGAAAAATACTACCAATGAGAGGAGGAGAGGAGCCAATGAGAACGAGGCGCGGGAAAGCACGAGTAACCAAGTCGCAGTGGATACTACTGTTGCTTCTGATTGGTTGAAAAGGTGGCGCGAGTGATTTTTAGACCAATCACAGGGCGAAGTAAAGAAAAACCTGTGCAATCTAGGACTCCTTTCGACACTGAAAAGTGCTCTAAAACCCGTAGAATTGGAATGCGTGACTGATTTTGACTGTATACATTTGATAACACACACTACAGGGCTCCACTGGTCCGCCTGGACCTGTTGGCGAACAAGGACCAAAAGGCGAAAAGGTGAGTGAAATGAATGGAAAATTCAAATTTAGACAGGATTGTTTTCTTGGTAAGAGACAAATTGAAATTCTTAAAAAATGAACTACAGAGCCGCATTTCTAACTTGCAAGTTACATTTCTTTTAATTCCTAGGCAATTTAAAATAATAATTAACCAGTGAGCAGAGCAAATTTTAGCTTACAAATGCTTCGGAACCTGGCCCCCAGTCCGAAGTGACAAGAATCGTTATTTTACTTAATAGGGCGACGCAGGACAATCAGGAATCCCTGGGCGAGATGGTGCTTCTGGACTTAGGGTAAGAACACCTTACTGAATGTCGAGTTAGTCTCTTTTTTTTTTTTTGTCTGTTTAACACGTACAGTTTATTTGTCATAGCTATGAGTGTGTTTTTTTTTTTTTATTTTATTATTTCGTGTTCTTAACTTCCTGTTTGCACACTAGGGGCCCTCTGGGGAGCCAGGTGTGGCTGGCCCTCCTGGACCGCCGGGACCAATGGTAAGTGGCAGATGAACCTTCATCTTCTTCTTCATTAAACGACTAGACTACGAGCTTAAGGTTTCTATCGCACGATACTCGTTACGGCTGGTTAAGGGCGGAGTCCGAATGAACTGTCGAACTCAAGAATCAAGGATTAACAATCTCAAGGTCGCATTAACCTGCAAGTCGTTCAAAAGTTATCGACAAGAAAGGTTCATGTTTTTTATTTGTTCACAACCGTACACTGTCGGCCCAGTCTCTTTACTTGCTCTCTCCAACACTCGGAAAGCTTCTAAATCACATGCCTTCGGCTCGTGATTTACAAGTTTTCCGAGTGTTCTCCCAACATCCCAAGTGGCTTTATCACATTAATGAGCCCGGAAAAATTTCGCTCTATTACTTACATCCGCTTGGAAACAAAATTGACCAATCAGACGATGCGTACTATGTTCGTTATGTTATAGCACAGAATAGATTGCAAGTTGCGTAGCCAATCAGATCGAAACATTTTTGTAAAAACTGTTATTTCGGTGTGCTTCTAGATTGAGGTCTTCAAACCAAATTTTAGTTTAACCTGCCAGAGAGGCGTTATTTAAGAGTTTTTTCAAGCAAGCGTGAGGCGTGTGTGAGTAGAGTGTGAAGGGCGAGTCAGGTGCAAGTGGAAGAATGTTCGCCCCGCGCTTGCCTTCGCGCTCGCTCGAATAACGCCAAAAATAAACGAAGCCTGTCCAGCAGGCTAAACTTAGTTCATCAGCACTAACAAGGCCAACATCACCAAGGAAGGATGAGGCCATAAAGTATATACAAGTTAACAGCTTCAAAGGCTAGAAAACGCCACCAAACAAGAGAATATTTCAGTTCAGCATCTGCTGCTAGTGGTTGAGAGCGTAACGTGAGTTTTCTAGCCCAATCACTGAACGTCGTAAAACAAAATCATTGTAATTTAGGATTACTTTCGTCTTTCATTGTAGGAATTGATTGAAAAAGTGACTCGGTCGCTTTATAGTTTTGTTACCCTGTTCTGATAGCATGACGACAATCCTGTGATAGATTAATCTCAAAGTGGACAACTCCCTTTAATAATTACTACAACAGTTAAACTTCCAATTGCTTTGTTTACGTCTTTCATTGTAGGAATTGATTGAAAAAGTGACTCGGTCGCTTTATAGTTTTGTTACCCTGTTCTGATAGCATGACGACAATCCTGTGATAGATTAATCTCAAAGTGGACAACTCCCTTTAATAATTACTACAACAGTTAAACTTCCAATTGCTTTGTTTTAGGGAGCTGCTGGCGGACGAGGATCAAGAGGTCAACCTGGACCTGCCGGAGACCGGGTGGGTGAATGATATGTGACTACCGCATTTGAATTAACCTAGCAGGAGAACCAGAATGTCTTGTGCAAAACTTCGTGAATATGTCCTTAACTAAGATTCACTAAGACGGAGTAAGCTGCAACCAAAAGCAGTTCGAGTTATGTCCAGGATTGAACAGGTACGGGAAACGCACCACGTACAGTTTCGTCTTCGTACACGTGCAAGGTGAAGTCCATGTTGCTGAAGTTGCGGGTGATACTGTTCGTTTGGAGTTAATGGAATAAAATAAGAAGGAAATTGACACAGCGATGTATCTTTTTCATTTAATGATTTGTTGTTTAACTGTACTATATCTCTTGTTTTAGGGGAGCACAGGAAAAAATGGTCCATCGGGTATATCTGGTGCCCAAGGAGAACAGGTAAGTCGTTGTTGATACTGAGAGCGTAATATCCAAAGATAACTTGTAACGTGACAATCCTGAGATTTTTGCATGACAAGCCCAACTGTGTTGGGTGACGAGCCGACCGCGGCAGCGAGGGAAACTGAAAATAGCAGAGTTTCAATCGCTTGTTCCCTCAGCGGCTGCTGAGGATGTTGTAGGCTACTGTGCCGTAATCAAGGCAAAACGCCAACACGAGAGCCCGTAGACAGAAGGCGGTGAGAGGTCTTACAGGCAGGGGTAGACCGTGGGGGGTGGGGTGCGGGACCGGCTTTTATTGGAACTCCTGAAAGAGCATACCGTAATTATTCCAGAGTCAATGGTCAAAAACGCAGTTTCGATTGATTGTCGTAGAGCTAATACCACAGTAATCACAACCCCCAATCGGAGCAAAGAAAAACATCGTGAGGAGCCAATAAGAACTGAACTACCCGCAAACGTGAGTGAGCAAGTCGTGTTTGGTTCAAGTTTTGTATCAGCTTGAAAGAGCGGGGTGGGAGGAGTTCTCTGGATCAATCACGGAGTGAAGTAAATCAAAACCAATGTACTACTGGCACTATCAATTTAAAATTTCTTTAGCACTCGCAGTGATGATTGAATTCTAGCCAAAAGTAATTACATCAGTAAACTTTGTTAACCCTTATTCATCTTGTTCCCAGGGCCCTCCAGGACCTTCAGGTGCGAAAGGTGACCGTGGAGTGTCCGGTGCACCTGTAAGTAATAATAGATAAACGTAATGATTATCTAGTGGTGTTATATTGATTTCTTTGTTTGTTTTTGGTAAAATATTATCGGCACTAGACAACCTCTTTCTCTCTCAAGAATTTGCAGTCGAATTTACTGTCGAATGTACTTTTGCATGTGATGTCGAATTTGCTATCGTGATTGCTTTCTTATTGTTAAGGTATTTTTGTGTCATCTCTGTTTGCCTTGTTATGTTTAAGGGAGCTCAAGGTTCTCAGGGAGGTCAAGGAACACAAGGTCAACCAGGATCTAAGGTAACCAAACTCTCCTCATCTGCAGCTACAGTGCCTCGAGTCTCGTAAAACCAAAATCAAAGTAATCATCACAGGTCAATCAGAACATAGGCCCTCATTATTAGCGCTGCAGGACGCGCGTTTCTTCGCCCGCTGGAAGATTGGATACGAGTCGAGGAGACGTCTGGCAGGGATCTGGCACTAATAATCAGTGCTAAATCCCGGTTCGCGTTGTTTAAGGCTTCATACTTTCCCGCGGGCGAAGAAAAGATCGTACTGAAGCGCTTATAATGAGGACCAGCTCGCAGTCTAAACAAAGGCCAACAGCACCAAGAGCTGGTGGGAACACAAAGTATATGCATTTGGACGACTTTAGGCGCTGGAATGCGAAGATTGGTGTTAGGTTTTTTAGACCAATCTCAGAGTTAATTGTACAGCTGGTAGTTAATCAGAAATTTTCAGCGTAGCTATTATTCTTGAATTTTTTTAAAACTGTCCAATTAAGGACTAATTTCAATATATCAACAAAGTTGAAATGGTAAATTGGCCACCGTGACCAATTTACCATTTCAACTTTGTTGTTATATTGAAATTATTTCGTTACCCCCACCGACGCAGCCCCAAACAGTTTCTTTAGAAACTATCAGCCTTTATTCAATTAAGGACTAATTCGGATAGTTTGAAACTATCCAAATCAATCCTTAATCAGACAGTTAAAAAAGATAAAGAATAAAAGCTTGACTGAGTAATGCCCAATTACAACTGACTAGCTGAATATTAATAAGTTATAGGCCTGTATACTTGTCCAATTTTGGGAATAATTTGATGCAAAAAAATTCCTCTAACAGCCAAATTGGACGCGGCCTACGGCCGGATGCAAAACCAATGCCCTCCAGAATTTACCCTCGACACTCATTTGAAAATGCTGCATTCCGCTTTGATATGCTTCTTGCTTTCATGATAAGTACTAGAATATAGACTTAAGGTGGCTCAATAGGGTTATGCAAGATCACGAAGCGCGCGCCAGTGACATCAATCGAAAGTTAATACTCTCGTTGTTTTTGCTATTTTTCAAATCAAAGCTACTGAAACATAAAAGACAAGGGGCTAAATTTGCTGTACAACAGTCACCTCTGAAGTCAAGGCTTTGAGTCCCAAATTAAAACTACTCAAATATCGCCATTTTTTGACGTCTGTTTGACTTTGATTTCAATTTTCTTCAATTTCCTTCGGTAAAATTTTCTATTATTCTCCGACCGGGTAGAGTCTGAAAAGACGAAACTTTTAAAATCGAAACAAATAGGGGTTGTCAAGGTAGTTTTTTCGCTTTTAACATTTTTGTTGTTTTTTGGCTGAGCGAAAAACTTGTCTTACAAATTTTTCTGATAAATTCACAGCAAGGAAAGCTAAAAGGGTATAACATCTCTGCCAAATTTTAAGGAATTTCACCGAAGGAATACGAGAAATTTAAGGGGGAACTTTCTTTTTTCTCACCTCAATGGCAACTACGTCATCAGAATAGGAACTCGCCAAGATCGCTATTTGAGCATGCGCGAACTCTTGAACCACGCGGTTTTACCGAGGACGAATGTGTAAACACGGGCGGTAATTATCTTTGACGTTTTTGTACAAACTGCTTTTGACCTGAAAGTCAGTTGAGAACATACCTTAATTCACTATGTCGCAGAATCCTTGGAAATCTCTTCGGAGTGTTTCAAAATTGCGGAGACTATTCTCGTCGTGTTTGTGACCCTTGGAAGCGATGAGCGACTGGACAATGGCGGTCTCGTCAAAATACACACAAGACCTTTCCGTCCAAATCGTTGGTACAAATTATTTAAATCCTCATATCTTAGGCCACTGCCAGCAATTTTTTCGGCAATGCTTTGCTTTATTGGGCTATCCGCATGACCTGGGTTGTACAGCTTTCCTCGAAAAGACAGGAGTCTCTGATGACGGTTGTCAAGATATTTCAGGTCTTCGGCGGCGTCCTTGACAGAGATTACAGAACTTCTGTTCACCAGCATTTCATCAGACAAAGCCAACCTAG